ACTGTAAGAGTGAAATCAAAAACATGATTTGACACAGTGCTATCTACATAATGGCTAAACCTTACGGAACCACATTATCTGGTCCTACTCTAACTTGTGGCTTACTTTCCCCCCCACCCCCACTAATCCCCACATCACTAATCAGGCACCCTATTAGTAGCATATATCTGGGAGAAAGGAAAGTGAAACCATTAGCGCCTGAGAAATCAGTGACTCGGAATAAGCAACCTATTGCCTTAGAGCCTGCTGTACTTTATTTTATTATTTTGATTATTAAGGGTTCAAAAGTTGTTTAAAGCCAACGGATTACCCTAGTTTAAACTTCAAGCACTTGGGTTTCCCTTTACTGTAGTAGGCCAGCTTCTAAGTAATATAGCATTTACCCATGAACATCAATTCCTGCTGATTATGACGCTGTATGAAAACATGGTTCCATCTTCTTCCATGTTGTTAGATAGTGTTAACAACACAAACATAAAAGAATATTAAACAGGATTCCTGTGCGGAACAAAAGAGAGACATTTTACAGCAACAACACAATTTAACAGAAAACCAACTAACCAGGTACTGTGTACTATCAGAACATTATACCGGCTGGAGGCTGGAGGGGATATTTTGAAATGTTTAGACTTCTGTTGTGAGCTAAAAGATGCTGTGTTTGCACAAGGCAATTTAGTTTAATGGAGAGGCATCAATCTTGTCATAAGAACGTATAAATTATAAGCTAAATGAAATTCTTCCTTTAAAACTAAGCATTTAATGCAATAAGTATATTTTTTAAACAATCAATTACAACTGCATTACACCACTTTATGATGACTAAAGACAATAATTACATTGATATAATTATAACTATACAATTAAACAAGAATTATATTTACAATTGCAGGAAATAGTAAATACATTTCAATATTTCTTAGCTAGAAATATGAAACAGTTAAGCCTTTATTTGGGTCATTCTGAAAAAACGTCATTTGTTACTGTTGGCAAAACTGACCTCCACACAATTCATATGAATTAAGACATGGCAAAGCAAATGAAAACATTCCATATGTAAATTAGAAAAATATAAAATACGCCCATGGAAACAAACTGATCAGCAATTAAGTTGAGATAATTCTCTATACATATTAATAGTCTTAATTGTATAAGTGGACTGTGTTTCAGTTCAAAAATGCATGTGAACTAAGAAAGTTTCATGCAAACGTTTGGGCACTCCTTGCCAAATTACATGTTTTGTTGATTTTCCAAGTGAAAAGAAGTTATCGCAACCTCTGCAGCGAACAAACTTAAACTTGACATGTTTCCGCAAATATGAATGCACAGTTACTATGTACTTGCTAAATTTAACAGATTGGAAAAAAATAAAACAGTAGATGTGGCATGTGCAAGAGTTTGGGCACTCTTCCAGTTGATCCACTAGTGTTATTTTTTTGTAAGGTCTCAGAACTTAATTGACTCGTTAGACCTGAATCTAATTGTCGGGTGATGACAATTGCAAAAAACTCTGACTCTTTGAACCTCTCAGGGTGTTGAGCTTACACTCAACAAACATGGGCTCCTTTAAGCAGCAGACTGAGGATTGGAAAATAAAGATAATTGACTCTTACAAAGCAGGGGAAGGCTATAAAAAGATATCTAAACGCTTCTTGCTTACAATTCCCACTGTCCGAAATATCATTAAGAAATGGAAGTGAAGGGGAACTCTTGAAGTCAAGACAAGATCTGGAAAACCAAGAAAAATCTCCAATAGATCTGCTAGAAGACTGGTCAGGAATCACTGCAAAGGACTTGCAGGAAGGTTTTGCTGGCACAGGAGTAGTGGTGCCGGTCAAACGTGCATAAACATGATCTGCATGGAAGAGTCATCAGAAGGAAACCTTACCTGCGATCTCATCACAAAAGTCAATGTCTGAAACATGCATCACAACACTTAGATAAGCTAGAGGCGTTTTGGAACCACGTGCTGTGGTCTGATGAAGTAAAAATTCAACTATTTGGCTACCATTTGAAGAAAATAACACCTTCCCAACTGTTAAGCATGGGGGTGGATCTATTATGCTTTGGGGTTGTGTGGCAGCCAGTGGCACAGGAAATATTGTGTGGGTAGAGGGAAGAATGGATTCGACTGACTATCAACAAATCCTGGAAGCTAATGTCCCACAGTCAGTGAAGAAACTGAAGCTGGAAAGAGGTTAGATATTACAACAAGACAATGATCCAAAACATACCTCAAAATCAACCATGAACTACTTCAAGAAATGAAAGATTAAGGTTTTGGAATGGACTTTACAGTCCCCAGACTTGAATATTATTGAAAATCAGTGGGTAGATCTCAAACATGAAGTGCATGCAAGAATATTTCAGAACTAGAAGCGTTCTGCTAAGGAAGAATGGGAAAAAAATTCCTAAAGCAAGAATAGAAACACTGTTAGCTGGCTACAAGAAACATTTGGAGGCTGTGATTTCTGCCAAAGGGGGTGGTACTACATACTGACTGATAAGATGCCCAAACTTTAACACATGCCACATTTATGGTTTTATTTATTTTTTAATCTTTTAAATTCAGCACATAAATAGTAACCGTGCATTTCAATTTACAGAATATGTCAAGTTTAAGTCACTGCAGAGGTTGTGTTAACTTCTTTTCACTTACAAAATCAACAAAACATGTAATTTGGCCAGGGGTGCCCAAACGTTTGCATACAACTGTAACTACAAAAGAGCTGTATGTGTTTGTAACCCTATCTCATGAGTTTGTAGTTATTTATTTTCAAGTCATGTATTCTCTCAGGTTAAAACAGGTCTACTGCCACAACAGTGCAGTTTGTGGTAAGTTCCAGAGCTCAGTTTGTGTTCATTTACTTGTCTAACCTGTGTTAACTTTTAGAAAGCACAACGCAAGATTATTACATTATAGGAAACCAATAAGTAATGAGAAGTCCCTGTATAACACTGAATCTGAATTACTGTTCTCAGTCTGAGGTACTCTAGGAGTTGTAATTACAAAAATTGATGAAGAATTCAAGTGCAACATCAAGTATTAACTTGTCATTATTTTTTTTGTTTTGTGTTATAGGCCTATTTGATTTTTACTCATTTTACCTTCTTAGCTTTTCACTGCTAGTGCTTACTTTGATTTTAACGATACCTCATTCTACATACTGCAGTGACTCTCAATCACCTGACTGCAAGACATGAACTACAAGAAATAAAAAATAAACAATTTCTACATTCCATGTGTGTATTTCTGAAAAAGAATAGCCTTAAATTAAAGGGTAATCTATCTTGGATTGGCAGTCCAGATTGAAACTATATACAATACCCTTCAGGTTTTTTTCCTTAACCCTGATGAAACAAGAAGAAAAAAAACATAATAGATTGGGAGTGGATTGTGTGTCTTGCTTGAAGCACATGTAAAAATGTTTTACTGTAATTGTAATACCAGTGCAAAGTACAAAGACATTTGTCTTGTAACTTAATTACGGAAAACATAAGAGTGACATTTACACTTCTACATATGATTTGAAATAAAATGCAGTTTAAACAACTCTATAATAGCCTTCTGCTCTTTGGAAGGAGAAATAAACTCTTTCAGAACTAGATCGAGGCCTCATATATAGGTTTTACTGGGGTATAAAAGGTGGTAACACAAGGAAATCTTTTAGTAGTAACATGCACCATCAAGCATTGCACCAAACACAAATGGTTGTTGACCACCAGAAGTTGGGGAATTGTTACAATAGAATCCGCAAAAAGCAGAATCTACTACTTTACACTGTATTGTTCAGGAATAAGAAACTTAAGACTCATAGTATAGTCAACTCCATCAAGAAGAGGATACAAGGGGCAGCAGTTGGGGACCTCTAAGTCAGCCTGGTACCTTCAGGATACAAAGTGTCCAAACTGAAATTTAACAACATTCAGCACTGCACTGCATATAAAAAGCCTCTTATGTGGAAGAACCATAAAATCTGAACTGCAATTTGTCCAATTTCAATGACAATTGGAATAATGTTATATGGTCAGATAAAACTAAAATAGAAGTTCTGGGGCTTGCTCCTCAATGTAATGTCATTAATGACATAAAGGCAAAGTTGATTTTAAAAAAAACTTATGCTGGTTGTGAATTATCTCCAGGTCGGGGGAGGGAGGGTCAAGATTCTAGAAAATGGACACCCCAGTATACCTATGATCCAAAGTATACATCCAAATCAACACAGAAATGGTCAATTGCACACCAAATGTTCCTGACTGGTCATCTAAATCTCCAAACCTCAATCAAACTCACTCATGCTTTCTTAACTAAATTTACTTTGAACAGATAAGACTTTGCTCCATGCAATAATCAAGACAGCAATATAACACACTTTGAATTGTTTCAGCAGGACACATTAACCAATCAATGCATGTTTAAGTTATAGAATGATTTTTGTACCTTTTCCATTGGAAATATGAATAAATCTGTAGGATACCATACACTAAAAGACTAGCAACATTAGCTTACTAAATAAATGCAAAGTTTACCAGCGAAACACACCAGCTTCATCAATCCTCTATTGGAGTAAGCAGATACTTTGCCAAAATGGAGATAAACAGACAATCGTAAGAGCCAAATGACCTTTGCCAAGTAGTTTCAAATGTATTTCTAGATATATTTGAGGGGAAAAGAAAAACATAGTTCTTCCTTTCTCCAGCTTCTGGTTTTACTTTTCTGTACAATTTTAAAACACTGTCTACGTATTTTCTAAAGAAAGAACTGGAGTCGCAGTATATAATTTCTTAGCAAAACTGTATTTGTTATCTGAAACATATGTAAATGTCAATTTAATTTTCTTGCAAAAGTCAAATATACTACAGGTTTCCTCTTTACATTGCTTACCTCATGAAAAAGTGATACTTTAATTAAATGATAAATACCAAAACATTCTATGGGAAGCGCTGCATCTTATAAAACGAACAAGCCTCCATACATCTGAGTTGGTGGTATTTTAGTTTACCTCATAGAGCAAGCAGCCTAGTGACCAAATGTCAGATTTGAAGTTATATCCATTTTCATGTATCCTCTCTGGAGACATGTAATAAGGGGTACCCACTGAAACAAAAAAGGAAAAACAGAAGTCAGGTTATTGAACTCATAGTTCAGAAAGCCATTTTATATACTTATTATATGCCTGAAATTGAAACCAAAAATGAATTTAAAACTCTGAATTTAAAAACAGGCACCTTCAAGAATCTTAAGATGTGCAGTACTTACTATTCCATACTCAAGCATGCTAAACCAAGAAAATTGGGATAGAACACAGCTTTAATTTCTTCAGAAATGTCCATCTGCAGTATGTTGAGAAATTGTGGAAGTAGTTAACCAAAATAAACTTTAAGATGCTGTGAAATAAGTCACTGAAAATGCACAGCTATCCCATGGAAAGAAATGGAAAGTTAAGATCAGCAATCTAGCTTTAAAAAAATAATCAAACCCTTTGCTATGTGAATGCTTTCTGAGATCATGTGGTCATGATACATTTCCAGAACAAACAGAAATGATCAGTTATTAGTTATTCAAGATCAGGGCACATTCTGGCACTTCTTTGCACTTTTGTGATAATGCCTTAAGAGGCAGATTTTTATTTTTATTGATTTCTGTAATATCCTCATTTGTATGAGGGAAAATCACTTCCACTCTTCAAGGTTAATCCAGGAAGGAACATGCTATGCAGTCATTTTATAAAATTTGGCTTCTTTCAACTGGCTGGATGAAATGCTCAGATCAGAAGGTTACTTTCAACCCAATGAGCTAGACAGACCAAATGGCTTCCAAATCGTGGTAACCTCTAGTGTTCTTAAGAAGGGCTTTGGCTTTTTTAAATTAAAATGCATTCGTCAATGATTTGCAATTTTATAATAATCACCTTTAAAGATGAAAATACAAGATTACTAAACCTATACAGTACATACACCCTCTATGCACTTGCAGTAGCAGCTTTCTACCACCAGAAGGTGCAATGGGCTTCCAAGATTGGACCTTATTTTCATTTGGATATTTTCATGCTTCAACCAGAATTAAAATATTTAGAGAACAGAAATTCAGATATGCACAAAACAACCAACCACAGGTTTAAAGCATGTTTACCATTTGCCTTGACTTTTTCAGTCCTAATATGTTGAACAAATGTTATGAGATCTGTAAGTTGTTCAGGTGGGTAGCTGCGTCAGCATGCATAGGCTGCAAAGGAACAAGTAATAGGTTTATTCCATGCTGGAAAAAAAGAAGAAAGAGAACACGTTTCGGCCGTGGAGCCTTCTTCAGGTGTGACACCTGAAGAAGGCTCCACGGCCGAAACGTTGTGTTCTCTCTCTTCTTTTTTTCAGCATGGAATAAACCTAATACTTGTTCCTCTGTAAGTTGTTGTTGTGTTGTCTTCTTTAAATCAATTGAGCATTGCACTCTTAATACTGTGATTGAACACTCATAGTCCTGTAACACAAACTGAACAGCATTTGGCTAAAATGTTACTTTTAGAGTTGAACTCAATTTAATGGCTGGTAGTTGCAATTAATAGAATAAAAACATAGTTCTGATGCTATGTACAAAAGAACTGGGAAGGGAAATGCCCGAAATACAGATACTTCCCTTCATTTGAAGAGAATGCATCAATAATTAACTTATTTAATTCTTTGTGAAAGGTACAGTATAACCAACCACTTTGGCATTTTTCAAATCAACAAACACACACATACCACAGTTTTTTTAGAATATATAATGCTTCATACAAACAGAATTCTACAAATGAAAAAACATCTGGATCAGTAAAGGAGAAAAAGGAAGGCACTTAAGAATACCCCTTAAGTCTGTGTTGGGTTTTAAAATAGGAAAAAGTTTAGGATGAGACCTGAGTTAAAGATACACCCATTTCATTACAAAAAGACTGAAACACACATAACTGGCAGTGAGGAAGGTACAGGCAGGCAGCTGTAGGAAATCCACAGGGGGCAGGTAAAACACTGAAGTTTGAAGGTTCCTAGTTTACCGAAAGCAAAGAAATTCCTATCAGCAGCTAAAAGAAGCCTTCAGATACATTAGGGGGGTGGGCAAGACTGTGAAAGATTGATGATAGGAAAAATACAGATAAATGCTTGCAGTTTACAAAGTTTAGCCCTTGTACAACACCTTAAATTCAATACTGAATAAAATCTCATGTGGCCATCAAATGAAAGAAATACAAAGACAAACAGCACTAGGATATAAAGCACAGCACAGAAAAATAAAGACCACTGTTCAGAGAAACAGAATTATTCAACATTAACCCTTCAAACCTCTTATGATAAAGAATACACAGAGAATCAATTTACAGCTCCTGAACTGAGTCTGAAGGAATTATCAAGTATCACCAAACTGCTTCTTTAATGACTGCAATGAAGCACCAAAAATGTGTACAATATTTTTAATTCTTCTCTAACACTTGTTTCCAATGAAAACAAGATTTTTTTATATGATCTATATTTATGCTAAAATATGATCTATAATCTAACAGAAAAAAATGCTCATCGACACCATATTAAGTTGAAGAGCATTATTCAAATTGGTCATTATGCAAAGTTTTTGCAAATTTAAGTGTCTCCTGGTACTGCTTGAACAAAGTCCCTTAACATTCATTATTACACGATTAAAAAGAATACTCTTTCTTTATGCAAATAATTGTATAAAAAGCTGAAGCTAGTCACATTCTATATGCATACCTAATTAAAACATTATTTATTCATGCCAATAATTGAAATACATGTTGGGATTGATTCTTATTACTTATAACGACAATGATGTATTTTCTGGAAATGAGAACAACGCGTCACACCGATGACTCTGTGGAGAGTTTTAATTTAATGAAAAAAAGTGATACAATGAATTCAGCTTGGTAGACGATATGGGACTTGTTTCTAAACCAAAATTACTGTAATCAATAAAAAGCATCTTTTAAGCGCTTATTATGACCAAGAAAGGAGCTACCATCAATTAAAGTAATAAAAGATAATCAAACACAATTACATTCTAACTCTGGTATATGTATGCGGTGATAATACTTTAAGGTAATTAGTAGGTTTTTTCCTAATTTCTGTTGTTAAATGTAAATGTATAGATCCTGGATTACCAATGATTTTTAACTCTGTTTTTAATCATTTCTTTTTCATGAATATATTTTTTTCTAACGGTTCTCTTTTGTTCCTTTTTTCTCCTCCCTTAATTTAAAGGGGAAGAAGCCCCTGGCTCAAAATGCTAAGATAAGTAAGATTTTTTAGTTTGTATCTGCAGGCGGCTGAGATGCTGAAAGAGAGAGTTAAAAGGGTAAGACTCAGCTTCTAAAGCAGAGAATTGACAGGCACATAGCACAGCTTCCTGGACCCCCATACACTACACACCCTAGTGTTCTACAGTGGAGGTTTGTCTCATTACAGCTAAAACTGTCAGCCCCCCTGCAGAGAGAGGCTTTAGTCTACTCGCCCAAAGGGAAAGGCAGATACAGGGTCTCTATGCCCCTGGGTGAATTTAACCTGCCATGTAGAAACTCATGAATTTCATACCCCTGCACAGCACAGCTTAGCACAGACTGCATCTTACAATAAGCCATCGGTTCTTAAAAAAAAACACACACAAAAATTAGATGTTCCATTTCAGCCAAATGTGTTTGTGTACGTTAAAACATCTACCTTTTATCAAATTACTGTTCCAAGAAGGGCAAAAGCAACAAAGGGAAGATGCACGTAAATGATTAGAAGTCATTTTTAAGGCCATTCAGCCTGTGTTTTGTATTAATAAAAAAGTGTATATGAGTGGAGGTGCGAAGAAGAACATTAAAGAGCTACTAAAAGGGTTTCTATACATAAAGAATAGAAAATATTTTGTTAGGTACGGATCTGCACAGCTAATAACGTCATATATTTTTGGGATGAGATGCAAGTTAAAGCCAAAGCTCATATAGGCAAATTAAGAAACCAATAAAAAAAATCTTCAATACATTAAAATATTAATTATATTATATATTAACAAAAGCAGTAACATTTTATTTATAAGCCAAAACTCAAACCACTACAATTCAAACGCAGAGTTTTTTTTGGACTTTACGGTAGCCTAAATGATTTTTAAAATGCACACAATCTTTTGAACCTGGCACTAAAATACATTTTTGTAATAAATTAAAAAAGAGGTTGTCCTTTAAGAAAATGAAAAGTTCATCCACCTCAGATCAGTTACTGTGGGGCAAATCATTTTAAAAGGCAAATTAATCGAGCAAGTTTATTAAAATGACTTCATGAGCTACTACCGAGCTTTGAATCATCATGCATCACACAAATGCATTTTTGGAACAGAGCACAAAAATCTACCGAGGTTACCAGAAGAGGGAGCTATGTTCTCTAGTTTTATTGCACCAGCAAATTAGTTTCTTTTTTATCAGATAATGTTCTGTAAGATTAACAGGAGTTAATCTTTTTAACACAATAAAAAAACACTGTCCCAGAGACCTGACCACAATTAAAAACAAACAGCCTTTATCTAATGGCAAAGGGGTACCACCTGGAAAAAGATCATACAAAGTGACACAAATTAGACTATCTGCAAATGTTTAATTCTCCCCATACAGAAAACAGGGAAATGATATGTGAAAAACAGAGACATCTACATAATTTGATATATAAAATGTTCTCCACACATGCGAGCTGACAAAGGTCAGACTGGTTTCTTGATATTGTACAGTAAATAAAGAAAAAAAATGTATACAAGTTCTATTAAAATGGACCCAAATTTTATGTCAAGGTTGGCAAAAGTTTGCTTTTAAAAGAAAAGATTGTGTGGAGATGCTATAAACTATTCATAAATCAGTAAGTACTTTCTAGATCTTGAACTTTTGTGAATTCTACACATGTAATACAAAAACAACACATTTGAAATGATAGAAACTTCGTGATGAGATGGCCATAAGATAAATGGAACCCACATAGTGAATTTTTTCTAATGCACACAGTCATAAAGCAACTAAAATAGGTTGTTAACAAACTGTAAAAATCTTAAATTCTTTTTAAACAACGGGTTATCTGAAATATAAACAATAATAGAATTTGACACAATGTCCCATTTATTGTTTCATCAAACTTATTGAATAATTATATCAATGCCATCCCATATTTATTACCCATCAGATATTTTAAATGTATAAAACTAAATCAACATATGTCATAACAGTTTCTTATTCCTTGAAGGATCAACAGGTCAGCCCAGCAAGAGATCTGCTTGTAGCCATTCATCATCCTCTGCATGGTGCTTTATTGCACTCTTGTGCAATCAAAATTGTACAGCAGTAGCAAGGCCAGGCTTGTTACATCCAGACATCATCTGTGAATAGGTCAGAGGTCAAGGCAACAGGAAAGCCTTAACTGCTCAATGAAATGGATATACCCAGCACTGGTTTGTAAGGTTTGCCTAGGGCTGCAGGAGGTTTTTATAACAGACACATGTTTTTAGTCTGAGTGATATAATGAAACACATCCAGCTTTTGTAATTAAATCGTCCGTCTACTCTGTGCAACATTTTAAAATGCTTCCTTACCTAAAGAATGTGCTGCTGTAGTCTTGGAGCTGAAGAACCTACCAAGTCCCAGGTCTCCTAATTTTACTACCCCAGTGGCAGTAATGAACACATTAGCTGGTTTTATATCTATAAAGAATAAAGAAAGAAAAGCATGATTGAGTATGCAAACTGAACACCATATTTCCCTGTTACAGTACACAACTAGCCAGAAACAAAGAAGACCAAGCCAACAGCAAAGGCTAAATTATGCACTTTAAATAATACACTGTTAAGTACTGCTGCTTAATATTGACAGAGCAAAAAAATGGACTTTCGAGACCATTTGTTTCACGATAAGATGTGTGAACATCTGTTGGATGTAAGAACCAAACTTATGAGGGGAAGTGATAGACACCCGCTTCTAGCAATAAACTGGAGGTTCTGTGATTGGAAGCATGTGTTTCTGCATTAAGCGCACCACATTGTTTTGTGTGTAAATAAGTTGTTAAATCATTGCATTTGCCACGTGAAAGCAACAAATTATAAAGATTCCGCATACAATTTTAAAAGAAGCCATCAGCCCTCTGTGACACGACGGATAATGAAAGCATTACCTGTATGCATAAACTAGTATAGTTTTACTTTTGTTAAAACTAAAATTAAACAAACGTGAGCTTCATTTTTTAACGGCATGGTGGAAGATTAATTCCAAAAACTAGAGAAAAATCTTACTTTACTACAACTTTGTCATCACATGCTGTTCTTCCAAAAAGCACTTCAAATTCAAGGTGGCAGTTTTGCTACTTCTACACCATTTCAAATACTGAATTTCACTCTACTAGCCTGTGACATATTTGAATGACCAGTAATAGTGACCAGTGAAGTCATTCACCATCAGAGGCTCATGAATTGAACACTGGGGGAATAAATAACATTGCCACATTGAATGAGACACCCATCCTTTGTTATTTCTGTTTAACTTCTCAGGAGGTAAATATACCCAGAAGCACAGTTTCTTTAATACAATTTGATTAGTACTTGGATGAGTCAAGGTGAAGTTATATGGAAAAAAAAATTATCCCATACAGTTAGTGGACATTTTCATGTAACCTTGGCTGGGAATGCAACATGACGTTAAGAAACGTAGCTTCTGGGCTGATATTTCACGCCTTGTTAAAGTGTTTTATTTTTCTACAGCTGTTGAACACAAGACGACATAAAGTGATTCTGATAAAAATGATCTATGCCGACTTTCACAATTAATAATACGTAGGGTCCCACATTCCTGATTGTAAATTAAAATGATCTCTTTGCAAGAGTCAGAAGCCACAGCTGGCACAGCTGGATTCCCATGGAAAGGACAAGCCCTCCGAAAGGCACAGACTGGTTTTCTGGAAGCTCACAAATGTCACACAAGACGTCTGTGACAAGATCACCAAGCGCCCCAGTCTATACCTGGTGGAATGGTAAAGCTCATGACAGATGATGAAATAAGCAGAAGGGAGCTTACAGTTTCAGTGGATTTAGAAGCTCCAGCTATTAAAATAATGTTTGAAAGCTCCTATAAATGAATGTACACAAGAGATGAAAATTTCATTTTTTTAAATGCTATGAATATTAATGAAAAATCCAATCTAATTTGTTACCTGGATTCTGAAGTACTTTCAGAGTCATCATTTAATTAGGATAAATATATAACACCTAAATATAAGACGAAGAGTTTTACAAGCGCATATCATTTTGTTCAGAATTATCTGTTGCACATTCATTTGACTATACTGTTCTTAGTTTCAGTTTTTTTGATAAGTGAAGTGAACTAAAAATGTTATGTAAAAAATGCAAAAAACAAGCAATTACTTAATTTCATATTCACTATAGCCTACCACTTGTTTGCAGCTTCTTAATTGCAAGTCTGCAACAAGTCTTTTTTTTCTCAGCAGCTCAAGAGAATATTAATTTTTAATTTGAGCTCAACTCAGTGGACTCAGCTGTAAATGGACTTGCCCAAGAACTAAGGATTTAAAGGTTGCCACCTCAGCAAAAAAACGTAAACATTTCAATCAATTCTTGGTGCAAGCAGTTTAGGGGAAATTATTGAACTAAAACAAAATGATCTGTTTACTGGCCCCACTGTGTTTTTTAAAACTGATACAATTATGCCCCCTATGACAACTGCAAAACCACCACAGGCAAATATACTATTGGCAAACTATTACTTAGAGAACAGCACCAGAAAACTTCACAATGCTATTAGTATTATATATATACTAGAGGTCTAGGAAAGAGATGTGTACTTCACGACATGTAAACAGTGTATCCTAAGGTCTTAATGTTTTTTCAGCGTATTTCTTTGAGTGAAATACCTCTGTGCATGACACGCCGAGAATGCATGTGTTCCAAGGCACTGCAAAGTTGAACAAAATACTTCCAGACTGTCCTCTCTGGAATTAACCTCTTCTGTTTCTTGAAATGCTGTAAGAAGGAAAACAGTGAAAGCTTAAGGTGTCAACAGAACAAAGTAAAAAAAAACAGCATTATGACAACATTTTTATTAATTAGCTACACTGCACCTGTGCTAATAGCATAATAAAAATGTATTACATTTTTTGACAGGAAGCAGAAGGCTTTAAGATGTAAGACAGCATGTCAAGTGCTCAAAACAAAAACAAGAGGACCAAAAATATAACTTTTAATGGAATTTTCTTATAAAAAATACTTAGTAGCTTATTTACTCCCACTTTATATTCCAATAACTTGTCAAGACTTTCATCTGCAGTACACTCGTCAGTAAAGTTTAATGATAAGTGGTGTATTACTTAGCCAAAATCTGCTATTGCTTGTGTACTAAGCAAACATCTTTTAATTGTCTCCCCAACACCAAAATGTCTCTTTTCTTTAATTTAAGGCAGAACTTTCACTCCATGACCTTTATTAAAAACCTTCTCATTTTGAACATGCTGCAATGGAAAGCACATGAATTCTCTGAAAATCCATTTTTGTGGTTATCTTCAAATGCTCACATCTGGTGTGTAACTCCTTGGTGCATAAAATAACCCACACTCTCAAACTTTTCCACTGTGTCTAGTTGTAGCAAAATATTCTTTTCGGGTCTGGCATATTTTCTTGCCTCTTCAAAGAAAAAAAAAAGGAGGCCACTTAAGCTTCACTAAAACAGAACTTACTCAGCAGGATGCTATAATATAATCTAATGTGAAAAGAATGCAAAATAATGTAGTTTATAGAAAAATGATCTCACTGTATTATGTCAATTATCCATACCACAGATGGGTCTATCTCTGTGTCTCGTTACAACCTTCCACAGGACCCCCAGCCCCAGAAAAGTGTCCAAATTATGCATAAACTACAGTCATTTTGGCATAAAATGGCGGATTAATTAATTGTGTAGAAAGATATTTCCTCATTGTAAAAATTATTACATTTTTAGAGGACGCTTTTGTTGTTTTCATCTTCCAGAAAGACAGCATGTCTGTTTTTAAAAGACTTAGGTCAAAACTGAACCCTGAATGGTGCATGCGCCAATATTGCTCTAGACACCCTTGTCCAAGCAGGTTTTGATGGTCAAGGGTAACATTACAATATACTGTACACCCTATAACAACTTTATTGCTCTACTACTGCTACTACTGGAGGAAAACAGGAAAAATTAAATGAACGGCATGTTTTAAAGGAACATTTTAAAAATAAGCAGCATAAACACTGAATTGATTTTTTTAAATGTTTTTTGTTAGTAAACTGAAACAGTCTTATGACAGTATCTTAAACAATTCCTACAAACCAGAAAATGCCCGATATTAATTTGACACATTGTAGAAACTGAGAGACAGCAGTTTATTTGATAAGGATATACAACATCAGGTAATGGGTCTTAATTATAATTAATTATAAGCTATCATTTCAAATCATGCAATACATAATATCTTGATAGAATATTTTCTTAGATTTCTTATGTTGCACTACCTGCCTTTTTATAAAATTATTATATATCATACATAGAAGATTTAGGTACTTAAAATTAATTTACATTTTCTATTGACGGTTATTATTTTATACAAAATGATATATAGGCACTGGTAGATAATGGAATCAACCTCTAAGTATTTCACTGTGCTTGATTACTCCATTGTCTCTTTTCACTTTTCTTATTTTAACCTGTTTTCATGCAAATAATTCAACCGATCCTGAATGTAATATTCAGCACAAGAACCTTGGCCCGCATCCAAACAAAGCCTGTGGATCTATTCTTCCCAACACCCTATTTGCATATCAGAGGGTTGTTTGATGTCAATGGGGTGCATATTGGCCCTCTATGCATTTAAAAACAAACACAGCACATGCAATATTCTGTAAGTGCATGCAAATGAAGGACCATTTGATTTAATTTGAATTCTGGAATGGTCATAAATCAAAAAGAATAAAAATTTTAAATTCATGCATTAACACTGCCGCTTCACATATGGTACGGTATATGCCTCATATAAATTTTATAGTGCAAAGCTAAAGCCTAATTTGTACCTTTACGATTCTGAGATTTAAGAAGGAAAAAAAAGTGAAGTTCACCTAAGCTCTTTAGTGTAACTTGTCCACCCAGGAGGGCAGATTAATATTTGTCAGAGGTCAGGAATTCTCTTTTGTCTGCTGTGCTTTGATACACTCCTATTGGTCTTAAAAACATGACTTCTCAAAAGTCTATGTTGGTAGAATCCCTTTCAGATTATTCTTTTCTTAATCAATACTCAGGTATAAATGACTAAGTAATCACTTCTGAAGAATTGTACTGACAATATTTTACTTTATATGTATAACATTTTTGTAGCACATTACTTTTTCAATGTGAAAATCGATCTTTAAGGATTAAAGATTCTTATTTTAAGAATAAGAGTACAACTAACTGAAACTGCGCATTTCCTATCCAAAGAATTTTAACATTGTTTTTGGGTTGTTTTTTTTTTCCCAGAAAGGCCATTGATGAGAACATTTGGCCCATTGAGCTCAATTTGTTTGACATCACTGTAGTCCCACAGGTGGCACAGTGAATAATCCCATCCCCCAGTCAGGAATGGACAAGGAGTAATGTTCACAGTACTGTATTACTGTAGTTATCACAAATCATGTCTATTGCACTCAAGTTTCTCTGGTGAAGAGATTGTATATTAAACTTGTTTGGTTTAAAGTAACATGAATTACACAAATTCTTTTTTATTTTTTAAATGTGAAGTCACTCATTCACAAGTTACATTTTCAAAAGTAGCAAAACCTGAATGAAGGCAATTAAAATAACGTCCTCCACTCTTCGTCTGCAACTTGCCTTATGGTACACAATAACATCTCTGTTTGGAATTAAAAAATTACCAAGCATACCTGGAAAAGTACTCATTTCACTTCCAATAAACATAAAATGAAACCTTCCCCCCACTGTGAGAAACTGTACTACAAATATAGAAAACTGGGCTGCCTACCTTTATCATTCGTGAAAGGTCTCCGGCATCTGCGAGTTCCAGGACTATATTTAGCTCATTGTCTTCAATGAATGATGCATAATATTTAATTACATTTGGATGGTTCAATTGCTGCAAATAACAATAGAGGAAGTATCACTGACTGTTTAAATATTTAATATGTCAGACTTGGTTGGTCTGAAGAACCTTCGAAAAGTGAAGAGTGGGAAAAATAACTGCCAAAGCATATATATAAAGTATGACAGTTTATTTTTTCCCCAAAAAAGAGCTTGAATGGCATATGGTTTTGGCCAAAAAAAACAACAACCTTCCAGCAAGATAAGTTCCTTAAAGACCAAAATTAGAAATTCTTTCTTAATAATGTAATGCGCAAAAAAGTTGGCATGTCTGTTGGTTAGCTGCAACGCACAGAGACCTTTAATGCAATTTCCACATTGATGAATATGATGGAAATGTCAAATGCTGTTCAAAAATAAAACCTCCAATAAGAGAGCTTTAACACTTTATACAACAGATATGAGTGACATTTCAAGAAAAAACAATTGCCGAAAGTAAATAGGGCAGTTGTACATTATGGCTTAGTTTGTTTGTTTTTTTTCCTGTTGGCTGGTCAGTGATTTGCAACTTCCAGCATAGTACACAGAAAAAACAGACATCGATAGAAAACAAACCAGAGGAAAAAAAACTCAGTGTCAGATGTCATAAGCCAGGAAGCAAAAACCAAGACTTCACATCAGCCATGACATGTAGGAAGCATTATTAAAAAAATGTTCATGCTCAAAACTGATATGAAAAGGAATGGAATGCATATATTATACTCCAATGAATTTATTAAATATACTTTGGGATTATGATTGCAACGTGTCAAAAGTATTTCATCACCATTTCTTTTTATCCTTCACTGAGGCACTTAGAAATGAAGGCAGAAGCTTCCCAAAATAAACAATTTACTTTAATTAAAGGCCCTCTATATGCTGACCCCATTTTGGGATCCAGTGGTAATGGAAGTTGTGAGCCACATATTTCACTACTATTGAGGGTTACACAGCAAGAAAGCCACTGTGACAAATGTCTGTGAAAACAAACCCTTATATAACACTATCTTTTAATACTGAAAACAGAACTAACAGCGGTAGATTCAAGTAAAAGTATGGACACTGCTTTTACCTATAATGAACCTTTCTTTCAGTGAAATATATTTAATGACACCAATTTCTAAGGTGGGCCTCAAGGTGAGATAAGATATTTTCCTTCAATGAAAAAGCATTGCGAGAACTGAAAACAGAATGTTTTCAGCTCCAAACATCTTAATTTGAGTAACATTTTCCAGCGCATTAAATATTGAAATATCATAAAAATGCTTAGCATTTGCTCCCAGAACATTTGAAGATCTTGTGGGTAGGGCATACCACACAGCAAACCAATGTGAGCTAACAGAAAGCACAACACTATACACTGCTAGCCAGATGAAAATACGAAATGGCTCGTGGACCACAATTTGAAGTTATCTTGCTAGTTGATCTTATTACTTTGATTTGGGTTTTTGTCTTGCCTGATGATGTAGCACACACTTCCTATCGTTTCACACAACAACTTGTCAATTGTGTGAAGAAGACTGGTGCGGTGACCAATTACCAGTCAGCTAGAAGCCTTTGCTAGCAAAAAACAAAGTTGCCGAAATAACTTGGGACACGATTTGTGCATTACCCTATTAATCCCTGAGAAGCTTTGCGGTGAAGAACAATGCCAAACGGTCAAGTGTTGCTAAGGTATGTGACGAGGCATTCACATAGATTTATCAAGTGCGTTTGACTCCTCACCTTGACACTGGCCCACGCGACCAAAAAACCTGTACACCACGTAGCATGAAAAGCAACTCTGACAAATTAATTAGCACCCTCAGACAAGAACTCTCAGTGACAGTTCAATGTAAATTTTATCTGCTGCACACAAAAGCAATCAAGTGTTGAGGAACAAATGGACAGTGATCTGGGTCAGAGTAATTAACATGCCAATAAAATGGGTATTTTTGTATTTAAGAACACCTAACCAGGACGGTTCAAAAGAAGCCTCTGATCACGGAAAGCTTTGCTTTATTGGGCTTGTCATTAATTTATTAGTTAGTATGCGTGCCTGTGTGAGCCTGCTTACAGGGGTTTGATAAATGAAAATGCTGGATTTAAAAAAAAAAGAAAAGAAAAAAGAACATGAAGAGATACATGAGGGAGTCTGCTAAATTTCCATTACAATGCTCAGTGCTCCCCTTCTAAATATTACTGAGACAGATAAAAACTATAGTTTTTGGCATTAAAAAAAGAGTCAATCTCAGCCTCAAGGAATGACACATAGGAGCCAGTGATCTGCACTCGCCTCACAAGAAACTGTATGTCTGGTACAGATCAATTGTTTTTCTCTAGTATTAGGTCTCTGCTGAGGCACCTTTAGAAAACATAATACAACACACGATGCCGCTTTTTCGCTCCTCTAGTTTTTTACCTTAAGGAGATCTATTTCTTTGATGCAATCTTGCCGAGCTTTGGCATCCATCAAGTCGAATATCTATCAAAAGATCAAAAGGAAAGTGGTGTTATGGCATTTCAGGATACTCGGGCGTATAAGAAGCATTGCCATACAAAGACACAGGCATGACAATGCACACCTGGATAAGGTCTGCATTTATACAGGGTAGCACATCTGCTCGTTTTCATCTCCTTTACTTTAGAATATTCCAAATTAATCTTACTCAACCTAGAGCTGAAAAATCCTTTTTTTAAAAATATCTTTTTCATTGCGCCGTTTCTCACCCTGCCTTTTAATGAAGACGTCATTCACAGCGTGTATAGGTGTTTTTTGAGAGCACTTTCACATTAAGAAAAGAGCAAAAACTAAATGAAGTGAACATTAATAAGCAGTTCAAGGTAATTCTTTAAAGCTTTACTGTTTACAATACTGTTTTCTTTTATATGTCAGTAACATTCCGATCTATAGTGAACTACAGTTCTGCCAACATTATTTTACGCATGAGAAAAACACATACTCATTAATAGCAAGATTAACATAAATATAACTATGTATTCTGAACACTTTAAAAAACCACATTACTTAATGTTGCCCGTGGTATTTAATTTTGTTGCTATACACATTAGACATTGTGTTCACATACTGGATATGTGAACACACACATGTGCAGTATGTGTGTATTCAAACAGAATAGATATACCTATGTGTGCAGTTTGTTCTCCTATAGTCTAATAGTATCTACTGTATTTTTAGACTGTGTAGGTATACATTCATATCACAGAATTGGTATAATTAGGAACTAGAATGTAAAAGAAATTGCCTCTTTATAGAAAAATAATCATAATTCAGTGTTTTTACTAATCCTATCAGGCCTGACTTAAGAAAAAAAACCAAAATGGATGTTAATTACATTGTTTTTTATTTTTTATTTTAACAGGTTCAGTTTCCCAAGGGGTTCAGAGAAAAGACCTCAGAGGAAAAATCATTATTTCTCTAATTTAACTGCTTTTTCCTTTTTAATGGCACATTTAATATTACTTCATCTTGTCCTTAACCTAAAAAACATCATAAATGTTTGCAATGTTAGCAGTCATCTTGGAAGGGAAGGACAACTGACAGTTTCCAGACCTGCAAGGTTAGTGTTAGTATTAAAAAAATAAAAAACTAAAACAGTAAAAGATAAATACCATACAGGAAATCATAATTCATATGCTTTTATTTATTTTCATTACAACAGTGTTAATAAAGAACGTTGCTGTCAACTGAATGAGGTAGATTCCACACCTGCTTGCATGAGGAAGTATTTGATCAAGGAATTCTTGGCGTTTTATGTTTTTGGTGTTTATTTTTTTTGTCATGTGGCATTTCTTTAAACTTGCCTTTGGCTATTTCTGTTTCTCCGTTAAAAGTACTAAAACTAATGCGTAATTACAAAACAAGGTACGCCTCTTTTCACTTACCACCTTGGCCCTTGAATGTTTTGCCTCTTTGATCCCTCAAGCACAGTTTACAGATGACACTGATCAATAATAGCGCTCATTTTAACTAGCATTTCCATGCTACAGTTCACAAAAATGACTGTAAATATGGTCGCGCATTTATTTTACTCAGTTGTTGAATAAAGACCAATCTATCCCACAGATCAGACAGACATGTATTATATAATAATCACAGCCCTTTTATTTTAAATTATGATTAATAAGGATACAATTCAATATTTAACATCTCTGGATTATTCTCATTTTAAAATGTACATGTGTAATTTCGCTTGGAGATCATATGAGTTGGTCATTTGTATTACAGATCACAAAAGTATGGTTACTTTCAGTAATCATTATACTGGCATATACTAATACTAGTCTTATATGTCATAATGAGAAGTATACTTACTCCAGATACTGGATACTTTCCTTCTTTAAACACTAATACCTGGAGGCAAGCATGGTATCTTTTATAAACCTGGCACACAAGGTCACGTGAAAGATAATTCACAGTAAGAAGAAAATAAGCATTTTGGTCACTAGACTATAAGTAGTAAGTAAGAATATTACTGGGATTGTGGCGTTACCCGCTTACAGCTGCAGTTAAGGGAAAAGCACAATTAACTGGCAAATAAATCACACAATAAAAGATTTTGTGTGATTGCCAATTTCTAGATATTAATATGCCTTAGGTCTACTAAAAATGTCATTTTTTTCTCACATGCAGATTTGCATGAAAAACTATGGACATCTGACTTTGCACATATAGACACAGATGAACTGCACTTGTGTTGACTGAGGTGTGTGTATTAGATGCGGCTTATTTAAACAATTCCATGTTTGCAGTGTCAATGCCTTTTGTATGTCAGGGTGTAGTTTTTTTTTTTTTAAGATGGCATAATGAAATCCATACTATAACTTGCAGTCAAAGACGGAATGCCTTCAAATTGTTGGAAACCTTCTAGCATTGTTAAATGCTTGTTATCTGCATGTCATTAGTGGAGAATACCTGGAAACAGTTTCTTCATGTCAGGGCCATCATTAACAGTAATGAACCCCCAGCGATGACAGCATCAGGCCCTTAGAGCACTGAATAAGGGATTATGTTGCAAACAGTACACACCGCATGGCTGAAGGAAGCAGCAGTAACTATGCATTTTAATCTTTTGGTTGCCAATTATTTTTTTTTTTTATACATCGGTGGTTTACAAATCCATGGGAAACTAGATTATTATTTATTCCTACCACGAATCCCAATATCTTTCAAAAAGAAAGGAATGCATTACAAGGGAAAAGAAGGTATCTAAGATGCGAGAAATTCAATGCTTCACATTCAGTACGGGGACTGCAGCGTTTTCAATGTTTTATTCTGCGCTGCAAACAAGCTGCCTATTACAGCTTCCTCACTGCAAAATAAAAATAGTAATTGGCCTTCTATTACATTTTGCATTTTCTTCTGGAGGGAGACTCAATTATCAAGTCACAGTTAACATCATAAAGGATTTGTAAAATCTGGAAAACGACCTATTATTAATTACAAGCCTTTAGTGATCCAAAATTTAAATGGAACTAAGTGAACCTGTTTAACATCTCTATAAACAATTTTAACTAGATTTTTGTGTATATAGTTTAATTAGAAAAAGAAGAAAATATTTAACCAGTGGAAATCAGCCAAATGTAAGTTTACTATCTAAGGCCTTACATTCACGAAATCATTAAATAGTATCAGCTGACCTTAACTAGGTTCCTGTTACGAATTCTGTTGTTTTTTTACCTTGTGATAAAATAATTCTGAATTAAACTGGATGTAGGTATTGACAGATGATGTACGTTTCACACGAATATTTTTGTCTTTTCCTTTCATAATGGAAGAAAACAGCATCCTTGTAAGGTTATCGTGCAATGCACACGTAGAATACATACACTCACTAACATTGAATCATACTGAAACTACAGAGAACAAGCACTCTTACACTTTCCATATAGTGTGACTTGAGTTAAGGTAATCGTGAGCAAAGACCAGCTCAGCAGTTACAGCAATTTTTTACACATCATCATATGCATTTATAATGTATGGAAAGGCTGTCTTTTATCTAACTTATTTGTTCCATTAATCCTTTCCAGCACACATGTGGTACATTACTTTAACACATTTCTCATTAAATCTAAAGACATTTATTGCATGGTCATTTGAAAGCAATTTCTTTTCCTTGCGTATTCTCAGCTTTTTCACATGTACGAATGCCAGCCACAAAAGCTTAACGACATGAAATTATATTTTTAGAATCTTTTCCAGTTATACTGCACGCGTTTATGTACATATACTGCAGATTGTCATAACTCCTACATTCCCTTAGGTTAGAATCTCTACTCGCCATTTTAAAAAATACTGTATTTATACTGTAAGGATTACACTCAGTAGTTTTAATTTCTTGCTTGTTGGCTTCTAGCTTGATTTGTAGAAAAAGCTGTAGGTTATATGATAGTCTTCCTTCTTGCCAGGACAACACTGCAAATGCAACCAAACTGAATTTTATTTTTATGGTTGCTGTTCAGCATCAAAAGAGGCAGTGCAATGCACCATACTATATACAGTATGAATGAAACAAGATTGCAGAATGTAAAGAGGGGGGGAATATTTAAAACAAAACATTGTGGATAATATGAAGCAAAATGAAAAGTAATTAAACCAATTTAAGTTGTCTTCATCAATTTTATTTTTTCTAAACACTGTGTTACCCTCAATTTTAAAGACCAATGTCAGAACAGCAGGAGAATGAAAAGGAAAAAACATTCATAATTGATGACTAATTTGCACTCTGAGCACTTGGGACTTGTTAGAAGTGTATCGCTTACATTTTGCCTAGTATTACGGAGAACCACTGTATTTAATACAACTGGAGTTACAGAAAAACAACACAGTAGTCATTTTTTGTTTCTCTTACCTGCACTTTTTTCAGAGCTACTGATGTATTGTCTAGCAAATATCTTGCTCGATAAACCTCGCTAAACTGTCCTCGTCCAATCTTCTTCTCAATCTGAAAATTTGCTAGTGAATTGTGCCCCATATCTGGCTGCAAAGGCTTCTGTATGGGAAAAAAAAACACAAAAACAAAGCAAGAGTTCTGTAAGAAACAAATCGCACAGCGTCCATCAGACATTTTGTGTATCCGCCACATATTGATCGGGAGTACTTCTAAAATCATTAGCACCGCGTTCAACATTTTCACCACCACATTTACATCATGTTTTAGAAAATAAACCTTTCGCCTCATTTTCAGTCAAGACTAGAACCAAATTCTTGAATATGAATTAAGAGAATCTGAATAAAGTATACTATTAAGTGAAAAGGCAAGCAAAATATAAAGGGGAGAGCATTAAAAATGATGAGCAGTGCATAAATACAATAATATTAGTATCATTTTCATTTCTATTGTCTGCTGCAGCATATCAAAACAGCATGACATCTCTATCTTTGAAGTGACTTATGTTAGACCAGTTAGTAACAAACCCCCCAGAGTGCTTTCAAAAGGAATCGTGTGGCACTCTGGCACTCGAGATCTAAAATTAAAAGCTAAGCAATATTCAGAATTAGCCCTTTGGATATAATCTGAAAAACAACAAAACTTTGACCTTTAGAGGATTTTTTTGTAAACTTTAATTGTATAAAACCGTGAAAACAAAAGGTGACAGATATCAGAAAGCCACATGTCATAAGTGACAGTGCCAAGAACGCCATAGGATAACCTTGAAGGCAGAAAAAAAAACAACTTTTAAGAAAAGTCCTTGTAAAGCACAAGTACAGCATTAGATCCATTCAGTTCCATTATATTCAGGGCTAAACTAAGGCAGCATGAAAACAAGTCCTGGGGGAACAGTAGTAGCATCTACCATTACACTTGCTTCTCCAATACATAAATCCATGTCTTTTTTACTACCATAATAATAATAAAAAAAAACGTCCTAAACTGCAGCACAGAATTCAGGATCCATTTCAAGATATCAGTTGGCTTAAATGTGGGATATGAATTGGCTTTTTCGACTTTTTTTTCCTCAGATGACAGAGCCCCAGAAATCAGGAAAATTGCACAGTGAGGCACACCACGTCAGCAAGAGACATTGACAGTGAGCCGTATGCAAATTAAATCCTGCAGTGTACCATACGACTACAGTGTTATCATTGGCAGTAGCCAATAAATATAATTTAAGTTTTCAACGGCGATGGCAGGGGATGTGGGGTGGGGGGGTGGGGGGAGCCAATTTAAGCATTTCTCTGTTTTTAACTTGACAGCTGATAAAAATGATGAACCCAAGAATTGTGTTATCCAATTAGTAGAGTGGATTTCATAGAGAACCAGGAGCAGGAAGATGTATGTGGATCACCAATGGACTGAAATACAGTTTCTGGGATTAAGACCGGGAATTACTTTCACTCACTGCATGGTAAGTTGACAAATGTTAGCATGAGCCTCTAAAGCAGTGTGACAACCGCATGCTGAGAGCAAAGTCTCACTAATGTGTTCTGGCATGCAGGTTTGTAATCACACATTTACATATGCAATGACCTACATTTGCATGTCAGATCGCACACTGTCTTGCTTTATTAACGCCGGGCACCTCCCTGCGCTTGGCGGCCTCAGTGGCGAGAGAAGGCCAGAGGGTGGTGGTTTTTTTGGCAGCCGAGGGACGAGCTGCCAGCAAGGATTAGGCTGATGTGGCCTGAGCATTAGACACTTCATTAGAGGTAATCTGTTTAACAGTGGGCAGTGTATGTAAACTTCACAGCCCATTTGCGGCACCTTTTCGCCCCATGGCCTCCCTTCAAAGGGCAGCATGGCTGAGTGACAGCTTGTCTCATCCGCTGCTTTGTCTTGTCATACAATTTCGAGCGGGGAGCTGACGTGAGGAGCAGCATTGCTGCACATCCCAAACTACCGCTGGGTCACTCTCCAGCATCACAATTTGTACAGACTGCAGCTTGTGGAAAACACTACCCACGTTTTGCTCCGCAGGACCTAAAAACAAAACCAACTACCAAGAGAAAACAGGTGTGGTGCAGAAAGGAAATAACAAAATCGTAGGTTTAAAATAGTTTCCCTCTGAGCAAGCTTTTCTTTTCAGTTTCTAAGTGTAAAAAAACCATCTGCGAAAATATTACAAAGCAAGGGGAATAAGTGAGCAATGCAGTGATGGAAATAAATGCCAAAAAGTTATAGTTCACGTCTTTTGGACCAGGTCTTATCCCCACTTCTAAAATGTAACGGCTTCGGTTTGTTGTTTTTAGTTGCAATTCATTTTATGCAAAGCATTCTGGGAATGACTTGAAGGGACAGCATGTCAGGCAAAGAGATGCGCAGAAGGACTGGCGAGCCACCGGTGACAGGACCATAAATGGAAATACAAGTACCATGGGCATGATGACAGAGACAAGAGGCAAGAGGGAAAGACACTGACTACAGCACGGAGGATTAGGTGCGATATGATAGCACAACACTGCCAGTGGCACGGAAGGAAAAGCCGACAAAGAGCAGTATGTGCTGGTGCTCAAATATTGCACACTGAAAAAAAAATAAATGATGTCGTATGGAAACAGTGGTTGTATGTGGAATTCAGCTTCAGTGGCATAGCGATGGCCAGGACTGGTGCCGGACAGTCTAAACACAGCTGGTTTTATAGGTCAGCCCAAAATTGGTCTGAATGCACGCGACATCTCAGATTCATTCTGAACAGTGCAGAAGGCAAATTGGTTGAAGTGAATTATGAGATCATCTTCACCAAAAACCTGAAGGCTCAAGAGCCCTGAGGGCCTTCAAAACTTGGCAAATTGATCAAAACTTGCATCTGTTCCAAGTCTTCATAGGTTTATATAAATGGTACCTATAATACCTGGTAGACTGTAGACCTACTTTAACTTTTTGCTAACTAAAACAGAAATAATTCTCTTTTAATAAATACTAAACCTGCAACTTATCATTAATCTTCCACAGTAATCCTTTATTACATTTAACAATGAAAGGGCTGTAAGTATCACAAACTATTTTAAAATCATTATACTTTAAGGTAATAATAGAAATAGATTCACATTAAAATGTTTTACTTTTCCTTTATTCAAGGTTCGTCTCATTATAAAATCAGAAATATTAAGGCCTATATAGGATGCATAATTTTCCATATCCCACAGAGGAAACTGTTAAAAGGCATTTGACACAGACCTATAATGTTTTTTTAAGTGAAACTTAAAAACTAAAAAGGAATCAAGCTCTGTGAGTTCTAATAATAACTGGCAGATATTTTTTCCCAGCATGACTAGCATGCAAATCAACAATTCACAATAACATTTTCAGTCTTGCTTAAAAAGAAATATTCTATATTGTTCTTTGGTCCTTTTAATATAACTGTACGGACAGCTGCGTGTTACACTTGTCACACTGCAAGCCTTTAAATTTCTTAAGTATTAAGGGGACACTCTTCACCTGTTCTGCTTCAATTGGTAGCCCTCGACTGACATTTTTAAACACCGTAAAACGAGTATTACAGATTTCAAACAGCATATGTCTAACTTCTGCTCATCACATGTTCTTTAATCTTTAACCCACTAAACAAACAAGATATGCGTAGTTCCACATACAGTAAATACAGATTTGCATTTTATTTTCTGTTGAAAACTTCAATTGCGTTTGAAGAACAAAGCCAAGGGTCATAACAGCATGACTCTACCTTCCTCATCAGCATGCATAAAACAAGTCTTTTCTTGTACCAGTGTTGCAACTGGTTGTATTTAAAAATGGCAAAAATATGAGGTGAAAATTTCAAGATTACAGAATGCAGGACTGTAGAAAGCAAACGATGGCAGAAAAATATATACAACAATTCCCATAAAATAAAGAAGTGTTACTTCCAGGGATATTTTTTCTCGTCCTTTAAAATGCTTCACCTCATGCATACTAAAGGAATCCTCACCTCAAAGAAATCTGTGGTATCTTTATTACCAAAAATTGTAATGCTTAAAATTACATAACATATGTACTATACAAGCTGTATTTGTATAGAATGCCCTTCAGTTCCACTCTTGTCTTTCAATGCTTAAGATAAAACAGCATACAATAATTTAACAGTTCAATTTTCAGTTCTCTAACATGTTTACTAAACCATAACTGCTGAAACAGAAATTAGAGCCATTCCATTGGACTGTAAATTTCCTCAATGATTCAGTCAGATTAAATTTCTTTTGTACACTCAGCTGTTTAAAAGCCAGCTGTCTTGATAACTTATACTACAATATGAATTACCGTATAATCATTGTTTTAGTGGTCTTTGACATCTGAATTATTTTTCTACAGTCTGCATGTTTTGCACAGATGCACTTATTTGCAAGCAATAAAATTAGTACGTTTTAATACAGTGAAAAGGAGGCAATTCAAAATGTGTAATATGTAGTATAATTCATGAATTAAACTGCTGAATTAGTGCCGTCTGGTTCTGTATTTTTTTCTACAGTATTTGAATATTCTATATTGTACGTTTCCCTGCATCTAATTATCAATTGAAATAATTTTAATAATAATAAAGTAGAATCTAAAAGAATAAAACAACAAATATTATGAAAATCTCACTTAATCATTACATTGCTTTTAAGAGTCTTACAAAGAACCTAAAGATTAAGAATTGTACTGTGTACTCTTCCTAATAAACAATCAAATTCAATTGTAAAATGAAACATAAATATGAAAACATAATCCAAATAAGACACTTAAAACTTTTAGATTATTTAAAAAAATAAAATTATTTCTGGTATGTATAATTTAAAATTGCTGTGCTTGATATGATGTAGACCAAGCAGGTGTCTTCTATGAAATTATTCAAATCAACGTACTGGTCTTCAAAAGATATGGATTATTTTTTTTAAGTAAGTTTCGTCAACTTGCTCTGCAAAAAATCTTTAACTGGATGTTGCCGTCTGCTATGAACATGCAGCAGTGACAAGATTCACACATAACAGAGCGGATTTTATTGAACCGCAGATCTACAGCAGGGGGCCAGGCTGCAAAAGTCTCGATCCATAGAAACAATTCCATATCGACCCAAGATCTCCTCACGTAGCGAAGTCTGTGATGATACTGTATTTTAACCCAGCCCCTTCGTGAAATATTTACTTTTTTCTTCCCTCAGTAAACAACAAAGAGTTTTAAATAAGGGAACTAATGCATAGCAATGTAATTGCATTCTCCTTACTGCAATGTGGCGAGACCAGTGTGATACACAGAACTCCAGTCATAAAAATCACAAAACTGATGTAACCTTAGACTGAATTATTTATTACTCTATATTCTTCTTAGTATATACACTTTTAAGATATTACAACCTCCCCATTTAGCATCACCATAACGCTCTTAAATAGATGCTTAACTGGCATCTTAACCAAGTTAAATATAACCAAGAAAACCAAACAGAAATAGATGTGTATTTTCAGACAGACAAGGCTCAGTGTGGCATGCTCACATCCATTGCTGTTAAATCCATTATAACAGAAGCATACTTCAGGATAATCTGCTACTCTGTGAAGAAAGGCGCCCAAAGAATAAATTCTGAATAAATTACTTGACAAAAGCAAAAATATATCTGTGAATCCCAAATTCGTCTGACATTTGACAGTGGCATCACTGCAGGTTTTCTTTCCCCTCCCAAGCACTGTAGGTGAACAGAATCTAAACAGAGAATATTAGATCACCACAACAACAAGAACAGCAATACTGTCAGGTGAATCCAATTATCACCTTTTGCTCCACACCTGAAAAAAAAAAGTCAGGGAATATATATATATAAATATATATATATAGCTTTCCACTGTGAATCCACCTGCCATTGGTATATAATGAGATGGCAGTGCACAGTATAGTGTATACATCTCCCAAGATGAAGAGTGTTGAAGAGTTAAGTTGTGCCTGCAGACATAGTCCCAGTGGTAGAGAGACAAAGTAAATGTCAAAGCATGAGTGGATAAGCCAGGTGAAAAACTGCACAACTGCACAGAAAGGTGAGAAACAGAGAATGTGTAGGTGGGGGTAATAGGAGAATGGGGAAATATCAAATCAGCCAAAATGCAGTGAATCAAAACACAATCCTAATTTTAGTCCCAACTCATATAGTCCCCATGACTGAAAAATGTAAAGCTTGGCATTTTATTAGTACCAAGGACTTTTTTTTTTTTACATTTTTCCAGCTTGTCATTGTACCTGTGGCTGAAATAGAGGAACCGCAGCCTGCTGGCCTTGTGGTTGTGCATCCATGGTGACAGGAGTTGAGTCCTTTTCACCTCTGTTAAAATAAAATTAAACAAAAGATTTATATGAACTGCGAATGTTCATGGCTACATGTCTGAATAGTCACAAATAAAATTAAACACTGAAAATCTTTTACTTACTGCAGTTCTACAGACACATGTGGATTTCACCGATGTGTTAGATCGACTACTTACATATGGGTTCAGTGTCACTACCTAAAGTAAGACCGTAGGTAGCAGAAAAGCAGTGTTATATTACTTTCACCGTGATCCTGAATGATTTCCATTGTGTTAATGGGGCACTGTCTGACTAAACGGATCTGGTGGACTGTATCACTGGTGCCAAAGCTTCTGTTGTACAATGATGAGCATTTTGATTCAAGGAAAATTAAAGAAAAAATGTGTTTGACAGAACTTGTGATACAGGATGAAAACACAGACTTTTCATTTTAAAAATCAAAGCAGAATCTCCAGATCTGCGTGTATAATATTTTACTAGTGGTAATGAAACTAAATTGTGAAATTTAAATAAATCATGACAAAAACCATAATGCATGATGCATTTTCTGCATCTAGCAACATATCATATGCAGGCATCTGAATTTTAATGACTCTTGTCAGTTGCTATATCCGTGCTGTCACAAAGATACTGCATAGACTACTAAACCATACAGTACTCCATGTCATTCTGAAGAATAAGAAATTCCAGCTCAATCCAAGAAAGTACTACATACTTATAGTTCTTCTATAAATGAATCTCAGCTGTCTGTCTCAGCTGTACTGCCCATACAGAATGTAGCCTATTTCCCAAGCTAATTAAAATCCACAGAGCAGAAATGTGGTTGACACTTATGAGCTGTCACCATGGCAAAATAATCCTACTTATTATTTTACTAAAGGTTAATATCACTAATTAAACTAAATTTTCTATTGAAACTATGAGATCTGGAGTGACATTAAATTATTTTTTTCCCCTAATTACTTCCTCCTGTGAACATGCTCTGACAACAAGACCAACATGCTTCCCTGAAAAAGTGTAATCACTCTCTGGGTATATTAGACATTCGGAGTTTTCCTAAAATTTAAAATGTTCCTTAAACACACATTTCAAATACGAACACCTTGCAAAAGACACCATGAACAAATTAGAGATAACAAATGAGGTATAGAACAGACTCCCTTTTACACTCCTAGGGAAATTTTGGCTTCTTCGTGATTTTCATGAGTTAGAGAGACGACAAGGGTCAAGACAAATTTATTACCTTGAATCAGAAAATCCACTTCAAAAAGAGACTAAAGCCACATTTAGCTACATCAGTCAAGTCTAAGGATAATGGGATTTAAAAAATATTAAACTAAATGTACCAAAGAGCTGTATCTTGTTTCTGAGAAGCGTTTCCTACAAGAGCATCAGCACTAATCTATTCATACGTCTGAAAGATCTGTTCAAACAGACATCTCAGAGTCTCAACATAGTATCTGATCACAGTATCATGGAGTGAAAACCCTCACTAACACTTATTTACACTTCATTTTCAACCATTTAATATTAATGCTGGCAACATCAGCTTCTTGACCTAGCTCAGTGTCAGAATAACTCCAGGGCGTTTGATTTGCATCTACTCAAACTCAAGTTTCTTTACACCCTCATTAATAGAATCAATTAAGAATGCATTAAGAATGCTAGAACTCATCACTGACAGTGTGCAAAATAACAGAGAAAGAACAATCTTAGGTGACAATCTTAGTGTATGCTTCCATGTATAGCACATCAAAAACCATACGATCTTAAAACTCACGAAGTACAATTTTGTTTAAAATAAAAGGCTTGACTGCATTTTACAATGAGATTGTTCCCAGAAAGCAAATAGATGCTGGGCCTCAAACAGATGTAGTTAGTACTTTCCCATGAAGCTGCCTTGGCCATAAAGTAGCCTGCTCTTAGGATGGAGCACCTACTGAATCCAGCCCTATTCATAGGCAGAAATTACTCACAAATAAAATGATGAAGGCTGGCAGTAATTCTTTGCTGAGGTGTCACCAATGGTTTATATTAATAATTACTGCACCCAGCTTATGTACTGTACTGTGAAAGTGAAGATGTAATATATTAATGCTATTTACACTTACTCTGAGTTGGTACACGCAGTATCCCCCAAGTAGGCCACACTGCGGTTTTATTTTGTGCAGCAATGAGCTTCTGTTCTGTTCATTCTGCAGGAAATATCAATAGACTAAAATAGAAATCAGCTTTACAGGTGAGGCTGCGATACAGAGCCAAGTGCTGAGCTTGACAAGTACAGTCAGTTGGAGGGGAAAGATAACCGATTCACGTCATCTAAATCAGAAAACATTTCTTACGCACTGTGATACCCTGAGGTTTTTTTCTTGGTGATCCAATGTCTTTGTGCCTTAACAGTCAGAAATTACATCAGACTAGACCAGCAACTACTCAATGTAAAGAGAGAAATACTCTACTAATTAGTGGTTTTCTGAAAATTACGTAAAGTTGTCAGTTCATCTTAAATTTTAGATGGATATTATATCCTTACTGGCCTTTGGTCCTCTATGAGTGCATTCTGTAACTGCATCAATGCAAAGCTGTAGTTAAATCCCACTTTCACAGTAGCCAACAGTCATTCAACCCACAAATCGCTCACCTAGAGCAATATTCATTAACAGAACATGCCACTAACTAACTGATGGTCCAAATCCATGTAACTCCCTGCCTGAGTCTCCAAGGAGGCCAAATGAGGAGACTGCTTTAACTTTACTTCAATTCCAGTTCCTTCTGTGTTACATTATTCATTTTATAAATAAGGGGAAAAAGTTGGAATCTAAGAAGGTTATTCACAATGAACTAATCTAATACCCGGTTTTTCTTAAGACAATTTGGAAAACGTTATCATCATTTCTGGAAAATAAGCTGTAAAGCATACTTGAACATGGCTACAGCTTTTAAAAAACAACTTTTAATTTTGTTGTAAAAATAAAACTCTATTCAGGCTTTGGTATGAGACTCCACAAATCAAAAGCATCTTTGAGCTTCCATATACAATATAGCTGCATGTCCATGATTACAAGAAACTGAGAAATCTTTGAGTTTTAATGAAAGACAGAAAACTATCTGATCATTTCAACGTCTTCATCTTTGAATTGCAAAATACTAATGAGGACAGGGAGCACACATTTTGAAATTTCCAGTTTCCAGTTTATGATGAAAATCATTAGTCTTTTGCTGTATTTTGATGTGCCCCTGAAACCACAAAGGATTTTCAATTAAACTTGAATAGAAGTTTGAGATAAACTAAAAAGGAATTAAAGATCTTTGTGCGGTTTCATAAAATATTGCTAACTTTGGGAAATTCCATTGTGTACCCCCACAACTCTACATTTTACTTCTGACAAAATAATGTTCCTTGCTTTCTTTAAAATAATACAGGTATAGCAAAACATTTGCAGCAAAATATAACACAATTCACTTTAGTCTTCAATTCAGCTTTCCAGAACTCCAATACACCATTTTACCCCTCTTTCATGACTCTGGAAATTACCAATAATTTGATTTACTCTTTTACACAAAGGCTACAGTCACGAAGTGAACACAAAACATCTGTTTGTTCAGGACATCTACCCTTAAAGTCATTTTAAAACTAACCTCAAACCAATTGATTAAAAACCAGAGAAGAAAATAGTTTGGACCCACATAAAATGGGAAATGCTGCCATAAAACTCTAAAACAGAATTTGGCTCCTGGGATGTAAAAATCTTCAGCAGGAACTGAACTCCTTAAAATTATGTCCCAATCACAGAGCAAAACGAAACAGGTCTGCTTTTGCTTAAACATAGTTGAATTAAGTCATGTATCCATTTTCAACAGATTTGATTGCAGAGAAACATCTATACATAGGAAAGATACATAATGTTTCAACCAGTGCATTTTGCAGAGATTTGTAGCATTTTATGGGAATAAAAAAATAGTTCTAGACTACAAGGAGCCTCAGACCTTGATCCATATTCCAGATCAAACACCCAAATAGAAAGTGCCTCTTTAGAGCCTCATTTTTCCTCCGTGTGTCTTAATGTTTTTTATACTTTGAAAACCTTAGCAACTTGCAAAGCCAACATGATTACTTTCAGCTTCACAAAATGTACTGTACCTGATCTTAAGAGCTACTTTCGTGCATCTGCTCTTAGTGTTTCAAATAGACTTTTTTTTTTCAAATCAACACCATTCAGCTGAACATATTAAACTCCTCTTGAGTATCCCTCATAAATTCCCCTTATCTTAATCTGAAAGGCTGGCTAGAATCTGAGAAGGACGGTGTAAATGTACCCTTCTTTTACGTGTCCTGCTCTTATGCTGCAGTTCTTATTTCGTTCTCACTGAAGCATCCCACACAAATGTCTACTATTTAGCAAATACTCAAGTGCATGCAGCTGTCACTTTATTTTTCATATCTCCCCTTTTGAGAAGAGTCTGCTTAGAAGACTTGGCACACTGTTAAAAGACCATCAAATTATCTGTAGTGCGCAACATTTAAAGAGCTTCTGCACTTTTTTTCTCCACAGTATGTAGGTTAGAAGCTTTTGTTTTGCTGCTGTTAATTCTACAGGTGCTTTACAGTGAAAACACGAACAAAACCAGTTGATTAATCTTGAATTAGACCATCTTGCATAATAGTATTTAACATACATAAGGCTTTTTTTCCCCAAATAGGTATCCAAGTAAGACACAAACGTCCTTTGAATTCTCATCATAATAAGCGCTGTCAATTTTTATAATGCAATGTCCAATTTTGATTAACAGAACAGAATTCATGGAAACATACCTGTGCAATGAAAATCACCAGAATCACAAACCCATTAAAAGACCTCCACGATCACCTGTAATTTTGTAACGGCCATTATATTGGCCCTTACCAATCGTTGCCTCCTAATAATCCCCATCTATGAATTGGCTTAATTACTCTCTGCTCTTCTCCCCACTGATAGCTGATGTGTAGTGAGCGTTCTGGCGCACTATGGCTGCCGT